CTGTTTGCCTCAACTTACGAGATCTCGCTTCAGGGTTCTAGGGCTGAAGACCATCATGCGCCTGTGTTTCTTGATGAGTTTACTAAGCCTCTGCGTTCTTTGCGCGCAAGTCAGGGGTCGTCCAGGGACATGATAGTCGTCCTGCATCTCGTGCTCAAGATCCTCCACGCTCCTTTCAACAGGCGGACTGTGCCTCGGGGTCACCGTGCTCAGCGGCACTGCCTTTGCGATCAAACTTTCGCTCCTAACACTCCACGTGGACGCGCCGTACTTCTTCATGTTCATCAAATCTCCTATGCTGCCTCTCACGTACAAATTTCCCAACTGAAGATTGGTCCTCGACAAGGCTGGCGAGTGTGGAAGGGACTCGGAGCACTTCTCCGTGGATCTCACCACGTCTGGCAGAACTGGCTTGCTCTGAAGCTTGTCGAGATCCGACAGAGAAGATCCACGACGAATTCTTGGCTTCAACAATTGGTTCTTCTTGGCTATTCGCTCTTTTTCACGATTCACGCTCTTGGAAGATAACGAAGACTTCATGGCGAAGAGACCAGCCTTCAACGGGAAGAGCAAGGCCCACTCTGTCGATTTTTCCCGAGATTCCATCGTGAATTTTTTCATAAAAAATTTTTATCGTATAACGTGTTAATTATCGTAGTGTAAAAATTTATAAAAGTGTAACAATTGTCGTTAAATCGAATTTTTGTAAGACTTCCAAAGGATATGTCAAATATCACCGGTAGAAAAAATATGGATAGCGAATAGTCTAGAGTTTGTAAAAAATGCATGCATCACTATCGCAGAACTTGGTCTCGTGACTGCGCCAAAGAGGATGCCATTATCCGAGCGATACAGCGGCATCCGGTCTGCTGTTTAAGCCGTTCCGGTCACCCGCTATCAAACTTCGGAAGTTACAATTTGTAGGACGCATTCCGCATTCCAGCCACGATCGTTTGATAATTTCCCAACAAGTTGCGCCTTCAAGTATGCAACGTGCACCTCCCGGTACTTGGTCTAATGTACCAAAAGAAGAAGAAAAAATCCCCTAAAAATTCCTCAACTGCTCTTGCAAAAAACACTCCACAACGATGAACCGCACGTAATCCACTGATTATTCCGTCCGTGATGAAATGATTGTTCATTGACGGAAAAGAAACGAAACACGACGTGTAGAGAGGCAGTGAAGAGAGGATCTTACTCCTCAGAGCAACGTGATCAGACTCTCTGACAGATCGTGCGGGAATTAAGGCAAAGGAGGTGGTCAGCCTCTGACGGACCTCTCGGTGATATTTTCACTTAAGTTAACACGACCCCCCGTGCAGATGTACCCTTTGCGGGAGCTATCGACAACACTTCCGTCTAATAAAAGCCTAATAACGATCGATATCGTTGCTTTCACTCTTTTCTCCGTCCTTTGGCTATAGAATTCTTCTCTCTGAGCCAACTCGAAACCTCTCGCTCTCTCTCTCTCTCTCTCTCTCTCTCTCTCTCTCTCTCTCTATGTGTGTTTAGAGAGAAGTAAAAAAATAGAAGAAAAAACTAGGCAACGTGGAGTGTCGATTATGGTAAACCAGAGAAGCGTTTTCCTTTCTTCCTTACTATAAGGCACTAGGATCGTTAAGCGTGGTCGTCGTCCAGTGAACTAATGCGATACTGAAGGATAGCAAGAGTTCCGGCTGGATGACAAGTGGCTAGAATGACGATAACGAATATGGCGGGAGGTAAGGCCTTGACGACGAAGGTGATACCACTAACTCTACTCGCTGCCATTCGACATACGGGCTTCCGATTGTGGTTGGGCCGACTACTGGCCTACATAGATTGCGGCCCTACGAGGTCCTATCGCGGAAAAAGAACGAGCTCGATGCCTATAGTGGGAGGAAGGAACGTGCCATGCCTTCGAATTCGGATTCGTACGTTTTTCTTACCGTACAATTGATACAGTTGGGTCTTGTACGATGTTTCACGCACCTTTTCTTGATTTTTTTCTTTTTTTTTTTTTTGAGAGAGATGGATAACTGTGGATGTATCAGGCGTGCAAATTAATTCGACGCCTTTTCTCGGGAACTTCGATGTTTATTTGCGGAAACATCGAAGACAATTTTAATATTGAAAATAATCCCCATTATTCCTCTATGAATTTCTCTCTAAAAAAATATGGCGGTTTCGAGTGGATAAGGTCGTCAAGACTTTGTGAAGAAAGGCACCGAATTAATTTGTACACCTAATAATTGGTAAATTGTGATCGACTGACACGAAGATCAAATATTACAGAAGTTCGTGAAATATTTGTATCTTGATACGAAGGATTGAATTGAAAAGTAAATATCGTCGAAGATAACGTGTCTGGAATTCTATAATCTGATAGGAGAAATTTGTCGAAAACAGAGTAACGTCGTGAATTCAGCTGAAAATGGAGAATTTGAAGAGGATACAGTAGTATGCACGCGCAAAAGCCATTTTAGCGGTTCGTACAGAACGAGGTGTAAAGGTGAAATAACGTCAGCGAGCTCTTGCAAATCGCTACGGTCGACAGTTGCAGCTAACAGAAAGGCTCGCGTCCCGCGTAAAGCTTTTTAGATAAACGGTTTTCCTCGTTGTTCCTTACCTAGCAGGAAAATATAGAGGCAGACGCAAGAAGACAAAGTGGCTGTGCATTATCGCGCGCGGGACAATGTCAAAAGTACCCGCGTAAGAATGTCCTTAATTCGTTGCAAAGTGTCTATGGTGAAATTTGTTTTTTAAATATTCCAGAAAATGTAGTGCCCGCGTAAGAATGTTCTTAATTCGTTGCAAAGTGTCTATGGTGAAATTTGCTTTTAAATATTCCACAAAAAGAAATTCTGATTTTTAACGAAAAGATTCTGAATTTTTTAATTTTGGAGTTACGATCCTTCTATTATTTTTTTACGCATCCTTCGAAGTATCCTTTGAACACATACATCCTTTGTCTATCCTTTGATAGTCACAAGTATCAAAATAAAATTCATGGTCCTCCTAACATCTATTAAAACACAAGTCCATTCTCATAGAATTGCATTCACGAACAAAGAATCACCTCGAAAAAGACCACCGATCGAAGAACAACAATCTCAGCAGCAACCCTTCGCAACAAATCCTTCCCTAAACCTTTTCAACCCCTTTACCGGCAATATCACACATTCCAACAATACTCCCCATACTTCAGAACCCTCGACCTCCCCTAAACCCAAACAAATCGTTTTTTGTCATCCCGAACAAAATCACAATACCCTCGACCCTGCAATTCAATCTTTCATTAAACGCAATTCCACCTGGAAATACACCAGCCAAGGGAGCAACGAGGAAAATGTCGCGAGCTCCGCGATCGATTCGCAGAAAATGCAAATTATATTCGCAGCTGCAACTTCGACTCGTCGACATCGTCGTCGTCGGGTGTTCTCGTGCAATTTTCCAAGCCGGACCGTGCGAGCAAACAATTGCATCGAGCACAACTCCGTCGCCCAACGTGTGTTGCCACTGCGAATTTACATTTTCCATCGCGGAGGCGAGTTCCTCCATGGTGTATATCGACTGGGACGGCTCCCAGGAGCGCGCCAGGTGCGTACTTAGGGCGCCACGATTGGGTGACAAGTCTGCGTTAATGGAAGTTTCGTGTCGCAGCCTGTTAATCCGACGATCGTCGCTCCGACGAGCGGCGCGTATTTTCAAGGTGACGATAAACGCACCCTTTATTCCGGCAGGGATTCCTTTATTCCACGCAACCATTCTCGACAAACTCTTCTTTCCTCCTACTCTCACATTTTTCCTCTCTTACGTTTATTCGTTTCGAGAGAGACTCGAATAATCGCGTTGAATTCGCTGTTCCGACTGTCTCTACAGTTCTCCTATGACGGTTCCGCTTCGTTCGTGTAACAGTCGGCACGCGCTTCTATGTATAGGTAATCTCGTATTTCTTCCCGAAGGTTTCCGATAAAACGTTAATGAACATTCATTGTACGTTTACAACGAGCGACGGAGATAATGGCGCGGCTGGTGTTTCCAACATGATATCGTGACGTATTACTCGTAATTTATGCGTTCGTGTGTTTCTACTTTCTGGGACGCGCGTAGTATGCGCTGACTAACGCATCTACTAGCTATCGATGGAATATTTTTTATCCTCCAGCGAAACGAAGTTAATCAAATTCTAATTTACGACCACGTCATCGATCGATCAATTTTACGTGAATTTTGTATCAACGAAAATTATCAATTAAACAGAATTCTCGCGTAAATAACGTTGTTACACTTGCACGTTATACTTTCGACGTTTATTGCAAAACGAAAATTTCCCTTGGTCGTTGATGTGTCTACTAATTTTTCGAGGTTCGTGGAAAATTTGCATAACTGGTCTACGACCTCTCGTTAACCCATGAACTACTGACGAAGATCAACGGACTCGTGGCAACCTTCCAATTTACAATTGACGGGCACGAGTTACACAGGTGATAAAGTACAGAACCCGTAGATGCAGTCTCGAGATTAACAAGCGTACGTGACATATCGATTCACCGCGAAGGTAATCATTGACAAGGCCGTTGTTGTCACAACGAAGGACTAGTAGAGAAATGCGGGTCCCCGGCATCTAACGCCGCATTTTTTGGAAGGTCGCCGTTAGGGTCGTTGACTAGCGTCTCGATGAAACGGAAAGTTATTTTCATTTCGTTCGAGGTCTCGGTTTCTACTTGAGTAACAGCTTCACCGTATCGGTAGAAACATGCTCCACTTGCCAGCTACTTATTCAAATTTATGTTTACCTTCGCAAAAAGGAAACATGATACTTCCTGATATTAGTCGATAAGATGAAACATAGTGGAGCACATTTTCCTACATGATAGCAGTGACCTTCGCAAAAAGGAAACATGATACTTCCTGATATTAGTCGATAAGATGAAACATAGTGGAGCATTTTCCTACATGATAACAGTGGTTTTAGATACCTTCAGTCAAAGATGAATCATCTGAATTTACTGATAAAATTAAATATGACTGGTTATACTACTCACCCGCAGCTGCAACACTGTTTTGTTGTACGCCCAATGCCATCGTTGCCTTGGTGTCATCTCCGGTCGTTCTTTCAACTGTGTAGGCACTGGAGCAGCTCCGACCATCTCGAGAAGCTCCTTGTCTGGCGTTGGTTCGGGTGGACTCCTCGGTGGAGTGTCCATTTGAACACTTTCTTCTAAGGAAGCTTGTTTCGTTATGCTCCCTGTAAATCAACGAATTGTAACTTTAGTATTACACTTTAATCTAATTCATGTACGAAAAAAGTGAAAATGGCTAGTGTTGTATAACGTAAAATGATAAATGCCTAATGGAAACTATCGTAGAGAATGATCTTACCACATGGACTATCCGTGTGAGACATTGGCGGAGTAGTTTTATACGTGTCCACTAACGAGCCCTCTCGAGAGTCACGAAGCATAGTTTCTTCGGCTCGTTCGTACCTTCGAAAGCAAATCATTCGTTCCATATACACATTACTATACAGACTCTAAGGTAACACTCGTGATAGTTACCTTTCGAGAGACTCGTCCCTCATCTTGTAGTCGTCGTTCACCGCATTACTCAAGCTCACCTCCGGTTCCTCTATAGACTCCTGGTCTTTGAAATATCCACGCTGGTAGCTCTCAGCCCTGGAAATAGGCTGAGGAGCGCTGAAGTGCTGCCCATAGCTACCTCTCTTTTGGTACGAGTCTGTCCTGGTGAGAGGTGGTTTGAATCCTTCTTGCGTGGTCGAAGAGAAGGAGTCTTTTCTAGTTGGTTGAGCATACGAATCTCTCCTGCTGTACGCTTCTTCGGGGAAGTGATCGGAGGCGTAAGAATCGCCTCTCATCAGTTTCGGTTTCTGCGAATGCTGGCTATGCTGGCTGTGTTGTGAGGAATGTTGGCTGAGCAGACTCTGATGCGACAACTGAGAGTCTTTCCTCTGTGGTTCCTTCGGTATTATTTCTGGATACTCTTCGTCTTCCGTAACTTCCTCCTGATACGATTCGGTTCTCGTTAATCGTTTTCCGTTGGTCGCAGTCGTCGTGTGAACCATCGCCGTTACCGTTATACTGGTCGTGTCGTGGTTAGCTGTTACGTGGTTGACCATCGTCGTCGTTGGCTGTACCGTACTTTGCGGAGATTCGATCAAAGTAGGGGCAGCGGGACTGGTATCAGCGGTTGTCGTATAGTCGCTGATTCCTTTCTTCTGTGGGATGCTACTAATTGAACTCACGGCAGTTTCGATAGACTCCTTCAGTTCGTCATCTCTGGACTCCAAGGAATCGGTATTCTGTTGGACGAGCGGGCTAGGTTCATGTTTCTCGAGCTTCTTTCTTCTTGGCAGAGCAGCCGACGCGTCTTGACTCTCCTGAGAAGTGAAGTAATAATCCGACTCGCTGGACTGGTATCCGTTTGTTCTGGTCTGACCTCTCGGTGTGGTCACCGATAGTTCTGGAACTTCGCTTGTTCTTCTCTCCGTGCTGGCAGCTGGACTCTCTTTGTAACGCTCCTCGAAGGATCCTTGGTAAGAACCGTGATAGGACTCTTCGTACTGATCAGGATAATCCTGATATTGATCCTGATACTCGTTTTTGTACGTCGTGCTGACAGGTTCCTCCTTGCTATACGGCGCCTCGTAATCAACGTAATCCTTCTGTGGTTTGGTATACGTATCCTCGTAATTACTTTGCGACGTAATGGGTACCTGATTGTACGTGTCCTGTTGGTTGTAGGTTTCCTGATTGTAAGTATCCTGACTATACGTATCTTGATTATATGTACCCTGATTGTACGTGTCCTGGCTGTACTGTTCTTGGTTGTACGTTTCCTGGTTGTACGGGGCCTGAATGTACGTATCCTGATTATACGTCTCCTGACTATAGGCTTCTGTGTTATACGTGTCCTGATTGTACGTGTCCGGATAATCCTTCTGATAACCGGTCGACGTATTTATATTGTACTGAGAATCGTATTGCTCTTGTTGATACTGATTGTAAGTATTTGTCACGTTATTTTGGTCATATACGCTAGGCGGCACAGAGACACCGTAACCGTCGTATTGCTCTTGATACGTATCTTCCTTGTACGTAGGCACCGTCTTCCTCTCCTGATATTGCACATTATTCTGATCGTAGCCCATCACCTGATAATTGTCCTCTATTATCATATCTCGGCTGGTTTTCCTGTATTGATCGTTCGGTTGGCTAGTGTATTGATCATTCGGCTCGCTCACGTTCGGATATGTCACGTCCTGATACGTATCCTGATAAACTTGTGTGTTCTGTTGCACGTAAGGCTTCTGATACTCCTCCTTGTACGAGTTTTGTAAATACGTTTGATCGTACGTATCTTGTGTCTGTGGCTCTTGATACGAACGACTATACTGGTCATCGACCTGGGACGTGTAACTGGACCCGTATTGACTATCCTCGGCGTATTGTGTTTTGCCAGGCGCATGCATCTGGTCGTAACCACCTTGCTCGCTGTATATACTGTCAATGTAGGTATCCTGAGGTAAATTATCTTGGCTGCGATAAGCGTAATTATAGTCCTCGTTGTAGTCAGACTTGTAGTAGCTCTCCTCGGAGGGAGTTCTAGTCTTTGGCAGTTGCCTGCTCGGTGTGGCAGGTAAGGAGGCAAGCTTACGATTGATAACAACGCTGCTTGGCTTTGTTGGTGTCGGAGGTAGTTTCTTTCCTGTCCCTTCTTGCCGGGACGTCGGTCGTTGTTGCGGTTGAAGCGGTTTTCGACGACGAGTACTGTGGCCACTGCAATTAAAAACAGTCACATGTATTTTATTATTTCTACTTCAACGGCGTAAATGGGAAATTTGGAAAAAAAAAAGAAAGGAAAGAAAGCACAAAGGGAGAATGTAATACCCGTAATTGAGTTCCTCCGATTCGTAACTGCGTTGTCTGGTAACTGTTGGTCTATAATCAGGTCGATGAATACCGATACTAGATGCAGGCCTCTGTGGAAGCGCTTTTCTATTCCGTTTGTTCTCGTAATAGGTTAGGAACCACTTCCCTCCACTGTCCCATTGTCTGTCCTCCTCGTCTTGACCATACCTAAACGACACATAACAAATTAACACGTTAAGTAAAAAAAATTAATGATAAAAAACTAAGTTCCACTGTATTTCCCTGTATTAAACACAGCTTACTCACCTTTCATCTTGATAACCGTATCTCGTGATGTTATCGTAGTACTCGTGGTACCTAATGTCCGTTTGGCATTCCGGATATGTGGCGCTCATTTTCCCTACTCTTCCATCACTGCTATATCCATCGGTATAATATGAATGGTCATCGTACAAAGTCATCTGTCTTTCCAACGACGGTCTTCTATGAGGGTCTGTTTTCACGAGCAAATAAACCTAGTTACGATCAGCTCTATTCGCTATTGTGTAAGAAACGTGCCAACACTATATATATATATATATATCAAATGGTGATACAACGAAGGCACTAACGTATCCATTGTTGGGCCAAAAACGAGGGGAATATGTATGCCAGCTCGCCTATATCTTACCTCTTCGTCTGGAAGAGCTCGTTGTGGTACTCGGGTAGTACTCTGTATCACTGTAGATCTTCGTTTCGTCGACTCTTGTGCCATGATAGTCGTAACCCTCGCTGTACCAACCGTCTTGGCTGAAATCACGGAGACGAGGACAATGGGGTAAAGTTGCAATAATCAAATAGGGGAGATAAAAGCGGAGATGAAATGACCCGCGTTTAAATGACGATCTTTCGCCGGAAGCGTGATACGCTCGGGTTGAAAGACATTTCCCAAAACGATCCCAACCCCCGAGAATGGTTCGCAGCGCCACTAACTGCACCATGCAACTACCTGTGGATACTCAGTGCATTGTATTTAACCTATTTATTAAAATACCAATTGTTACTCTCGATCTACGTAAGTCTTCGTCAATTCCATTATCATTCTACCCTTTGAAATTTCGTTCGATACACTATATGTGAATACTTGTGTTTGCTTTCTTTCTATTGTTGGTGAAATGTGACTTAACGAGCATATACAGAGTAAATGTACGAGATGATCTGCGATAAATGGTTCAACTATAAAGTGACTGTAAAAATGTTCGTCTACACTACGATGGATTATGTTTTGTATCTGTTCGTGTGCAATGTTTCATGTAAAAAGCTATATATTCGACGGTGCTCGAACTAACGGTGAATACGCTAATGAAAGAGGATGTTAGATGAGACGTGTGATCTAAAGTTGAAAAGTATGCGAGTTATGCGATGAAAAGTCATAGAACTTTCTCACGAAACAGAGCTGGGGTACTTGTTTCGTACCTGTCCTCGTAATCCCACGTGTGCTTCCGTCGTCTAAATCAAGCAGAAAAAAACAATAAACGTTTTTTCCCTCAGGTGTAACGCGATTCGCTATCAGGGCCGTGCAAATTTCACTCGGTCAATTCTTCAAACGTAATAATAAACATATAAATACGTTACAAATACTTCTTCTTGCACGACCCGTTTAATTCTCATCTCTCTGTATAAAACTATAATTACTCAACTAAATTGAAATTAATTTCTTAATGCAGCAGCAGCGAAAGGTAAAGAAGAAGAAGAAGAAGAAGAAGAAAGAGTAGTACTAGCAGAAGAAGGGAAACTACTAGTTGTTGTATTATCGAGTACTGTAATTCGAAGTAATTTGAAAAGAAGTATCGCTGTAAGGACGATGTTATTTCTGGCATTATCGTGTGATACTCTCTCTATCGATCTCGTGTGTACATTGTGCTTTAAGGCTCGGTAAATGTCAAATACCTGTATTCCTTATAGTGTCTTGGTCTACTATTGTAGAAGAGTGGCTCGGAAGATTCTGAAGCGTGCTGAGACTGAGAATACCTTTGCGGTGGACCTTCTTCGGGATACGGTTCGTCATAACGTGGACTGTGGCCCGATCCACCGTAGCCTCCGTAATTACTCGGAGCTAGTCTTCCTCCGACTGTAGCTGGAATCTGATGGTACACGCAATCAATAAAATACCGTTCCACCGAGCACGTTTTCTTCGAGAAACTATAGCCGAGATTCCAACCCTAAGCTAAGCCTAAATGTCACTATCTCCGACGCTTCAGGAATTCAGCTTACATGCTACTTCTATTGAATTATGAAAAAGATCTCGGAAAATCAATTTCTTTCGATTCCTTCGTCGGTGTTCAATGCTACTTCGGTATTTTCACGAAATATTGCAAAGTTAAAGCAGTGCAGATAAAGAATTTCTAAATATTATATTTGTTAAAAGTTAAAGTAAAGAATCCATACGTTTATAGCTTTTTTAATAAAACTTTTCATTCAACATTTAACGAGCAATTTCGAAAGAATTTAGTTTTATGGCAAAAAGGTAATATGGTGATATTAAGCCTTTCGGTGCACTTTCACCTTAATTTATTACTTAATTTTATTCTCTACGAATTTCTCCTTAATTTAATAAACCGAATTTCAAAACGATACGGTTAAAATAACAAATTTTGCAGCCGTGGTTAAAAGTTGACCGTCAGTGATACACGTTACAATCTGCCGTAACGAAAGGGTTGAGCAATTTCTAAACTTCGACAATCGCTAAAAATTGAAGGTAAGGTAGTATCTATCGAGCAATACCTGATGATCGTCCCTCTCGTAGCTATTTTCCCTGGAGGTCTCGAGGGATCTCTGAGGGGTGGCCAATTGGTTGGCAGCGGTACGAAACTGCGAAGCCGAGCTGTTTGCACCTTGTCCGCCAACTGGATAATTCAGGTCTGACGTGTAGTCCGAATCCTCTGAATAACCCGCTGAAAGTCAATTGAAACTGTACATTACCACGAAACAGAACGAAATCTTTTCGTGTAACAATCGGCCAGGCGTGGTGTCGTTCGAGAGAAAGAAAAACGAAAGAGAAACAAATTTCAATGCATGGAAACAAGTTCGCTAAACTGTCGTGCGGTGTTTATAGGAGAAAGAGAGAAATCAGTTTCCTTACAGACTAAGATCAGAGAAACACGTTCTAAGCAGGAAAGAAAAAGATCTGTAGTCTGAAATGAAACTGAGAATATATAGAGTGTACCTCGTGTGCGACATTTGCAGATATAGAAATTTGCTGAAAATTGTAAAAAATTCCTTCCATATACATATATATCGTGGAATCTTTCGAGATAGGAAAAAGGTATCCGGAACGAAGCACGATGAGTTTTCATTCAATCTCTTTCCCCAGGGCAGACAAGATATAAACGACGATACCCGTAGTCGGACAAAAGAAAAGATAATCACGAGTGACAGTCGTTTCGTTTCTAGAAAAAGCGCGCGAGCTGCAAGTAGAGTCGTCTTCGTCGTCGTCGTCTGCGATCGTGATAATTTCGAAAGCACTTGGACGAAACAGGAATTGGTCGATATTGGACGAATTCGTGATATTGAAACGTGGTGCAACAGCGGAAAACAGAAACAAGTTTCATGCGATTTGATCGGTGATATTTGAGACGTGTTGAACGTGTCAGGAACGAAAGCTTGAGAAATTTCGTTTGAACAGGGATGGGGAAAGAAACGGAGAGATCCAGAAATGAGGGGGTGAACGGTACGATTAATTAGAAGCTAGGTGGATCGACGAAAGTATCTCTACGGTAGAAAATACGGAACATAAGAGAGACAGAGAATGGAGAGAGGAAAAAGAAACGAGAAAATGTGAAAATTTTACCATGCCAAAGGGTGTGTAGAGATCATCCATACAGCGAGAGAGATCCTTTTGAACGGGGGTTGAATTTTTAACCGTGCTTGCTGCATGAAAATATCCACGTGCACACTCCGTGGATAATGCAATTGCAATTACATAAAGTACTCTTATGGTCGGTGATCGCAGATAAAAAAAAAAAGGAAGAAAGAAAGAAAGAAAGAACCAGCACGACGCCGGCGAATCGATTTTGTATGCGAAAAAGCTGCAAGCGTACACCCTTTACTACTGCTAACCAAGAATAGCATTCGAGCGAATTTAGTTCTGAAAACCATAAATAAAAGCCTCTGCGAAGGAACAGTAACGTAATCGCTGTGGTGATGTGAATATTTCGCTTCAAGCTCCAGCTTACACTTACCAGTGAGATTAACATGAAACGTGTACCGTGATAATCGTGTTGTACGCGCGCACGTATGCAAATAGATTTCAAACAATTTCACGTGAACGTTTATTTTTCGAGCGTTGAATCAAATTGATAAGATAGAGAGAAAAAAGAAGGTTTTATCACCGTGTTTCCTTTGTTACCAGAGAAAAACAGGCAAACGTACAATTGATAATTTATGCAAAATCTGACACCGTACAGTGGAATGTTTGTCAAAATGACAGACTACCAATAGCTACTGAAATTTGACTAAAAATTCATTCGATCGAATACTTCATATTTCTCTATGTATAAACTAAATTTTTACCTACATTAACTAATTAACAACGTATATTTTCGCTACTTCAAATACTACGTCCAAATACACGGTGTCAGATCCAACGAAAAATCCCAAATTCCACTATGAAAATGAAAAAATCGTAAATGCTCCAACATGGTTCACAGAAACAGTTCACGCGCGAGAATTCGATCAATGAGCGTACAACAAACGATATCAACGACAAACATTCGTGTGTATTCGCGGGCGCGGGCGAACACGCGTCGGAAATGAAAAAAAAAATGAAATTAGCGCAAGTGAGGGGAAGAGCGCGCGCGATGAATGGAGAATCGCGGAGTCGAGTCGAGTGTAACAATTGATCGGGGACGTTCCTCTCGTGTTCTCGAGAGACAGAGAGAGAGAGACCGAGCGAGAGCGAGAGAAAGAGAGAGAGAGAGTATTCGAATAAAACAGCAGCCACTTAAAACAGTGACTTGGCGAGTACTTACAGTGGCCTATATTGTACAATATCTGTCGTCGTGCCTGTTCGGCTCGTGCTTCCTGGTCCATCATGTTGTTCAGCATTTCCAGCTTCCTCTGCAGGTCCGCCGCCTCCGTGTTCTCGGGGTCTTTCGGAAAGATAGACATCGATGGGGAAATGGTTAATCGCGGATGTCTCGACTGTCTCTACTGTGTCTCTAATCTGCATCGATTACGTTTGTATAGGGTACTCGAAAATGATGGTGGGCAAAGAAGGGAGAACCAACAAAAAAGAAGAAGAACGGAGCGAGGTTGCGGTGCCTCCTCCTCGATTCGTCGCCGCGGCAATTTGATCTACCATTCACGGGGGTGCGACGTACTACGTTCTCTAACGAGCTTACAACAGGCATAAGAAAGAATAAGAACCTGAGTATTCCCTGGTACTCTCCGATAATACCCGAGCCCGGGAGAGCGTAATATGCCGCCTTCTTAAAAGGAAACTCGTGTTACGCGTTCTTTATGCATCACACGCTCCTCGTGGCTATCGAACCGAGCGTACACGTTGCTTGAAAGTTGCCCTAGCCTAAGAAGTTTCTTTAAATCGCGCTCGGGCATATTAATCATACTCTAATATCGGCGCATTATGGTCCAAGGTGACTTTTCCGTTCCCAATTACGAAAACGATCGATCATCGATCTTGTTAACGACGGTAGAAAAATTCGATTATATCAACAGTTTCATACCCATCGATTGGAATTTATAGTTGGTACAAGCGTCGAATACAAGCAACACCATTCTGAAAAGTGTCGCACAGAACGTCGCTATCGTCGTTGTCAACGTCGCCTAATTTATCCTGAACCATAATTATACACCGTACAGGCGTTCTAAGCCGCGTAAATTGACCTGCGGTCTTGCTCGCTTCAGCGGTTTATTAATATCGCAGCTGAATGAAGTATAGCTGGCGTGGTCCTTTAGAGATCTCCTCTTAAACGCACCGGAGCTTCCGGCTGGATCTCGACGTAGGCGATTTCTCCGAGCTTGAGAACGATTTATTACGCGACCGGCTGACTCGCTCCGGCGAAAACCCTTTCGGCTGACGACGAGTGGAAAGGAAGAGGAGTCGTTTGCTACGTCTACGCAACCCTGTTACTAAGGACGCGGCGCATCAATTTACCATCGTGATCCACTTGCTCGCTTTTGCTCCGGAACTTCCATCCGCTACTTCTAACTCGATGTAGATTCACGTGGAGGACGGCCAAAGCAAAACTACCAACTTAAACCCTAAATGAAAACTACGCCTGTGTACACTAGCGATCAGAAGTTTAAGACCACCTCTGTGCCCCCCTTTTCATCCTGCCTACCTCTCGGCCCTTCTTCGTCGCTCAACTGGAGACGAATTGACGTGTACGAAAGTTCGATAGTTCGACGGTGGTAGGATGTTTCGCGAGAAACACCGGTGCAACTTGCGCGAGCGTAAATTTAACACGCGTGGAAAATTAAAAAAGATTCGTATGAACACTTTTTTTACGATCTTCTTAACAGCTTTGGTTGAAGATTGATTTTTTCTTTTTTTTTTTTTAGGACGTTGAAGTTTTTAACGAGTTTGTTATCGCTGTTCGATCGAAAACAGGGACACTATAGCGAAATTTATGTTTATGTTAACTTCAGTTTGGTGCACGTTTGTACCTACGTATTGCATGGTTTGTATTAAATAGCTGAAATAGCTTCTACGTTTGCTACGGAGATTTATTTACCGCACTCTAAAACGTAGCAGCTAAATGTACAAATTTACTATTGATGAAAATGACATTTTCACAAATGAAATATGTACAGTAGAGATCGAAATTGATACGCATCTGTAATTCGAATGCAGCAATTTGTATACTCGTACAAAAAGACAGCAACCTGGTTAAATATGAACGAAAGACAAATTGTTGTACCTTTTTCCTTCGCATCCTCGTTGAATTATGAAACAGCGCAATCCAGCGTCTTTATCGTGAAAGTTTTAACAAGACTATTAAAGATTTCGATTTGTATTACTTCTGTAACTGACCCAATTTGTCTGCTCTTTTTTTCTCCCAGGTAATGCTCGATGCAGCGAGAAACTAGCATGTGCAAAATTTATCTACCCTGCCTAGTTCTCCACTGGCGATCTGACAGCGGTCTATCGATTAGGTATTGTTCCTATCCGTCGAAGGGAACGTAACATTCGCGAACGATTTGAGGAAAATGGCAGGTAAATCTTTGATAAGTTCGTGTACGAAAAATGACGAAGGTACGAAAAGTAGAAGAAACATTTTACGCCAAACGAACTAAAAGTGTCGATAAATTACTTTAATCGCGCGTGGAAATTGGTATTAAAATGAAAAAAAAGATATTTCGGAACGAGGTACATTAACGTAACTACCCCGTCAAGAGCAGGTTAATGGATTAGCGCGTATTTACTAATGATTTGCCGAGTAAATTTAACTCCCCCACGTAAAAATGTATGGTGCGTGTGTATCGTGGCTTAAAATGTGCCCCAGTCACGCGAATATTACTTTTATTATTAGCATTCAGACTCGTATGTCATTCTGCGAAATCGATGGAACCCTAATTCAAGAAACTTCGCGTCTGGCGAAGCTAGATGCTCCGATAACGGCGAAGTAATGTAGAAAATGTATAAGCATCAAGCTCCGATAACATCTAGTATCACGACTAAATCGACTTACATTAATTCACCCTTTTACAGTAAATCAAAATTCCCATTACTCGCGTTTCTCTTTTTAACCTTTAACGATAAATTACACTCTGACATTCGTAATTTTCCGAGAAACACTTAATTGCCATCTCTCTCTTTTTTTTTAATAAACTCGAAAGGCCGTTATATTAAATTTCCTTGGCTTCGCGTTTACTTTTCCCTGTCATTACCATTCTCTCTGACTTTCCATCCTTCAATTACCCCAATAATACCGAAACAACAAAATCCGCGCGCTAATCGAGTAACAAAAGCAACGGCTGACTATACGAACCCTAACACGAGCACCGAGATTACTTCGTCGTCGTTAATGCGTTCCAATTATCCGGCAAAATAATCGTGGCGCCGGCTTATCCTCAAACACGATTAAGCAAACGAACTGTTAATGAACGTTAAAAGACGAAGACCACGGAAGCCTTTCGCAAACCCAAAGAGTCCGTCCAAGGGGTCCTAATCCCAGCAGTTCCGTCTCTCTCAAAAATCTCTCGTAATAATATCAGAAGTGTAATACGCCGGCACGAGCCCATTAAAGTCGGATTTGAGGCAAGAACAAAAAGGTGAAGAAGTAGCGAGGAGAAAAGGGAGAGAGAAGAGGAGGGAGATGAAACTCTAAAAGGGCACAGAGAGAAAGAGAGAGAAAAAGGAAACGAACTCGATGCTCTCGAGGCTGACCCTGACCTACATATTTTGCGTTCCACCGTTTCCTTCCAACAAACGCTCGCGAACACCGACGAGAGACACGTACGAGTTCGCGGTTTGTCTCCTCAAAAACGTTATGTATATCGTTTCTTCCGGCGACCAACAACCACACAACACCA